TGGCAGAATTTGGTTATAATAATAAATGTGATAAATTAATTGGGAATTAGTAAGAATTTGGATATAGCTCCCATATATATACATATATATTCTCGGCCGATTTCACATATTTGACGCACCAATTTCAATTAAATATGAAAGGTGTGGCGGAGTTTGGTGTAAAAGTAATTTTTTTTAAATTATATTTAAATCGGATCAGATTGGGATATGATTTTAATAAGAACCATTGACCCACAACGCTTTAGGCTAACACTAAAAAACAACAATTGATTTGAAATACGCTTATTACGGCGAAGTATGTTGCTATCTCGAATTCACTAATTGCAATAGAAATGCCACTCTACTTAAAAAAATTGCAGTTTCCTGCACGCTTGGTATCTGCTATGAAATAAATAAATCCAAAGGACAAACCCTTCGTGTGTGCATGTCATGTTACTGCTTTTGTAATGATTTTGTTTATTAACGCATTAAATTAGTGCAATAATTTTTTTTTTTTTAATTTTTAAATTTGTTTTTCTTTATCCAACATATATTCGTAAATAAAATTTTGAATGCATATAAAATCAAAAGGGGTAGCGAAGCGCACCGGGTTCAGCTAGTTTTCTAATAAAAGAACAGTGGCTGAGGCTATACATCAGTCGCCAAAACCGACGGATACTTTTTCTCTTGTTTTTTAGCCACATTGATGCAATTTTTTATATACTGCGAAAATAAAGATCTTTGGTGACTTATAGTAAAATTTAACGACGAATATTTTTGTCTTTGGTGTCATCCTTCTGAAATGATGCTTTGCTGGAGATTTTTGCACAAACTCACAAAAAGTATTGCGTTAACCCTAAACGTCCTCAAACGGGCTTGGTCCAGAGAGACATAGTTATTTAAAACGTTTCGTTTCAAATATGTTTATTTTCGCCGCATAAAATGACAACAATATATGTAGCCATCGAAATAAGTACAAAGTTGGCCTTTTTGTGTCATTCACATCAAATACGGTGCGTTGCATAATGGTTGGTGTGTCTGGCAGAGACTTCCACATGGACAAGGCCTGACAGCAACCAATTTCCACGATTTGAAATAGCTACCCATATTTTTAATATGTTTCTTGCAAAAGTTGTCCCTAACCCGAAAATAATTTCTCCCAGCAGCGTCAAACGGTTGACCACTGACGAAAATGCTAGCAAACTCCCCTTTACCCTTCCGGACGAACACGCAAAATATTTATAAAATATTTCTTTTACATTAAATTATTACCTTGTGTTTTGGGTTTTTAACGCTTTTGCAAGAATTTCTTAATATCTCACACGCACAGGCACTCACACACACGTACATGCCCGCAGCAGATTTGTTATTTTGGAATTTTTCAATTATAAAAGAAAATATTTGTATTTGAATTTTGTGTAGCATCCTTTGCCTTTTTTATACCCTCAGCCATATGGCTACCTAGTCAAAATAACGGTTTTAGACCCTAGGTCTCTTTGGACCAAATCCGTTTCAGAACATTTCGAGTCGATCTAGCGATGTCCGCCTGTCTGTCGGTCTGGCTGGCTGGTGCGCACGATAACTCTCAAAGGGAGTAGCCGATTTGGTCCAGACTTGGTACATCGTAATATTGTTGACATAGATCGAGTTCGGAGATGGACAATATCGGTCCACTCCTTCTGGTACCCCCTCCACAAAATGTCGAAATTTTCAAAGAATATCCAATCCAAATTGCTCTCCAATTTTGCTCTAACTTTGCAAATTCTAATATTTTTATCAGTGCTAGGTCAGGTGCGAAAATGGACAATATCGGTCCACTCCATCAACTCTTATAAAATGTGTTGTAAGAGTCCAATTGTCTTCAAATTTCACACATACCAATAATTTTGTTAACCCCAGGTCTGGTGTTAATATGGAATACATCGATCCACTCCTTCTGGTTCCTTCCCCACAAATGGTCGAAATTTTCAAAAAAATATTTTCTGCACAGAAAAAGAAAGGATCGTCCGATTTTGCTCCAACTTTGCAAATCCTAATATTTACGTCAGTGATAGTTGTGGTACGAGAATGGAGAATAACGGTCTACAGCATCAAGTACACCCCCCCCCCACAAAGGGTCAAAATTTTGAATAATTACAACTCTTATAAAATGTGATGTAAGATTTTATATTTAATTTTGTTATTCAAAACTCTAACCCTTTGTGGGTGAGGTACCAGAAGGAGTGGACCGATATATTCCATCTCCACACTAGACCTTTGATTAGTAAAGCTATAGTGACGTGTGTAATTTGAAGAGATCCGGATGCTTATTTCGGATTTCAGTTCGTTTTGGTTATTCAAAACTTTGACCCTTTGTGTGGGAGGTACCAGAAGGATTATTCGAATCTCTACCATCTTTATAACAGATCTTGTGTTGATGAAAAAATTGAAATGTACCAAATCTGAATGGTATCGGATATTATTTTGTGTTTTATGAGCTTCATGAATATTCAAAATTTTGACCCTTTGTGGGGATCTACCAGAAGGACCCTTTGACCCTTTGTGGGGGAGGTACTTGATGGAGTCAACCGATATTTTCCATTTTCGCAACTGACCTAGAAATGACGCGGATATTGGGATTTGCAAAGTTAGAACAAAATCGGATTATTGCTTCTCTTGGTGCAGAAAATATTTTTTTTCCGATTTTTATTTTTGAAAATTTCGATCTTTTATGGGGAAGGTACCAGAAGGATTACGATGTACCAAGTTTGGATCAAATCGGATACTCCCTTCGAGAGTTGTCGTGCGCACCAGCCAGCCAGACAGACGGAGAACGCTAGAACAACTCAAAATGTCATGAAACGGATTTGTTCCAGAGAGACATAGGGTCTTAAACCGTTATTTCCTAAAATGAGGCACGTGTTGGCCGTATCAAATGATATATACACTTTCTAGCCCTATGGCTGAGGGTATAAAGAGAAGATACGTTTATCGGCGTTTTGAAAGTTTACATCGAAAAGTAACCTACAATAACCATAGACTGGGCAAGTTCTCCCTCCCCTGCAAAAATCTCCACGAAAGCATCATTTCAGAAGAATGACGTCAAAAACAAAAATATTCTTCAACAAATTTTACTATAAGTCACCAAGGATTTGACGATTTGAAGGTAATCGGGAACATGTGGCCATCGGTTGTCTACGGTTTGACTGCCAGGAATCATGAGGTTTTTGTTCAGGAATGTTGACGGTTTGAATATAATCTGGAACTTCATTGGGTTGATGAGCGGTGAACGATCGGGGAATGCGATGCAGGTGGTTGGGATGTTGATGCCCAGGTCTTCGAAGGCGGATTGGGGACTTATGGTATAAACGTTAACAAATCGCTGTGGAGATACTCGGGAACAGCTGCCTAGGTCCCTGTAAACGGATTGAGATTCGTCCGGGTTTGGCAGCTCACTGAGTGTAGGTAGGCGAAAGATGGCTGACCTTTTTGGATGGATTCTAGGTCCAGCAACCGATGGCTAGGTCTTTGTAAATAAATAGGGATGCGGGAGAAGCTTCCAAGGTCCTCTTAGACGGATTCGTGGGTTTGCTAGCTCATTGGCTGTAGATTGGGCAACCGATGGCTAGGGCTTTTTAGATGCATAGGGACTCGTTCGTAGGTCTTTGTAAATAAATAGGGATGCGGGTGAAGCTTCCAAGGTCCACTTAGACGGATTGTGATTCGCGGGATTGCCAGCTCATTGGCTGTAGATTCGGCAACCGATGGCTAGGCCATTTTAGATGGATATGGACTCGTTCGGGTTTGGCAGTTCGTTAAGGATTCGAGAGACAAAAGATTTATTCACATTCAAATGCTGGAGTCTTCTAATGCTGGAGTGCAACTTGTGGTTTTCCAGCCAAATATAAAGAAATCACACTATCACGCTGGAATTCCATCACGAATAACTTTTTTTTCTGGAAAATTCTTACCAAAATGCTTTTGAACGCTTGTAAACAATATAATGAGCTATCACTGGAATAATTTTAGCAGCTGTCGGCCGAGTGGCTTAGAAATGACAGCAGTCTGAAGTTGGTTGTAGTTTTTGCATCTCACCCTGTATATATGGGAGCTATACCTACATCTGAAGCGATTTTCACCAAATTTTATGCACTTACTTCTAGACTGAATTCGGTCGGATACGCCAACATTCAGGTAATTTGAACTGATATGGGTCATTTGGTGCACAATTAACCCGAAATCGGTTGAAGATATATATGGGAGCTATATCCAAATCTGAATCGATCGATTTGAAATTTGAAACATTTATTCCTCAAAAGTAGTTATGGGCCTATCTCGCTTCTTTCTCCATGTTACAAACAAATGCAGTGGTGTGTAGGGTATAGCACTATGAGGTGTTGGGTATAAAAAATCAGGAATATATGCTATACCTAAAAATTACATCTGCATCGGAGATGACCGATATAGGGGTTATTAACCTCGTCACTCGCTTTACTTATATCGAGAGTTATTTTCAAGGATGATTTCTGTCCAGGGCGAACGCATATTGATGTTTTATCGCAAATTCAATTGAAAAATATGACGAAAACCCCAAACACACATAGAATAGCGTCGTTCCGTTATATGGGACTATATCTAAACGTGGACCTACATAACCCATTTAAATACCAAAAATTGTACGCGCATAGAACCTAGAGTTATTTCCACAGAATAATTCTTTGAAAGGAGTTATAAATGGAAATGGAAATTTACCACCCGAGTGGTAGGCAAATATGGCAGGACGTCCTCTAATATTTTAACGTTGCCTTCTGCGAAGCCGATGCTATATAAGACTGCAACATAATCACAAAAATCTATTATTTATATACGGTATTTCTGCTATTAGGTTCTTAAAATATCAAATATTAATAAATCCGTGGAAAATAGAACGATGTTTTATTTATTTTGTTTTGTTTGTAAATATTTTACAAAAACGAAAAAAAAACAGGCAAAACATTTATTTAATTCTACTTAATTGTTTTTTTTCTCTCCCTTTTTTTTAGTTCATCGCCCGATTCCCTGAATGCTGACCGTAGCGATAAATCGGCACTGGGTGCTGCCTCGCCACAGGCTTTTTACAAGCTAATTGTACCCTTGTTACGCTGTGAAGTTGTCGATGTTCGGGATGCTGCTGTGAATGCCCTGGGAATGATTAACCATGACGCTCTGAAGTAAGTGAATTTTAAATTTTTGTTTTTTTTTTTCGATTTATTTGTCCCAAGTTCGGATGTCGATGTCGAGGTCGATGTCATGCAATGGTTGTACATTTTAAAGTAAGAGGATTGAATGAGAATGGATTTTGAATAACTTTAAATCACTTTTGAACTCTAAGTAGAATTATCTAAAAGGGGAGAGAGAGAGAGAGAGAGAGAAACGATTAGCATAGAAAGAGAGGGCTGCTAGTGCAGATATTTAGACACTTTGAAAGTTTATGTTGTTTAGACCTTAATTTAACATTAATTAACTTTTTCTACTGGTAAATGAAGAGACAAATGTTAAAATCGTTGTAATAAAATCTCTTTGAGCGGAAAAAATGGTACGGAATAGTAGTACAAATGTCAGAAAATTGTGGCAATTGTTAAAGAGAACAAATCCGGCATTCAATCAATTCTATTTATTAAAAATAAAAAATAATACAATTTTCGGACTGATTTCGAATCAGCGTCCCGATGTTTGTTTACGATAGATAAAAAGAAATAAGGCATTTTTTATTATTTTTCTACTAGCAAATCCCCGCTACTTCGAGTTCGAAGTTGCGCAAAATCAGTCCACTCCTCCCCGCAAAGGTTGAAATTTTCAAAAAAAAAAAAAAAAAAAAAAAAAACTGCACAGAAAGAGAATCGACGATTTTGTTCTAACTTTGCAAATTCTGATATTTACGTCAGTTCTAGGTCAGGTGCAAAAATGGATAATATCGGTCCACTCCGTCAAGTACCTCTCCCACAAAAGCTCGAAATTTTGAATATACATTAAGCTCTTAAAACACAAAATTAATATCCGTTTATTACATTCAGACTTGGCTCATCTCAATATTTCCATAAACACAAATTTTTTTATAAAGATGTTAGAGATCGGACCATTCGTTCTGGTACCTCCCACACAAAGGGCCTAAGTTTTGAATAACCAAAACGAGAAAAGAGTCCGAAATAAACATCCGGTTCTCTTCATATTACACACGTCCCATTGTTTCTACTAACTCAAGATGTGGTGTGAAGATGGGATGCGTCGGTCCAATCCTTCTGGTACTTCCCCCACAAAGGGTCAAAATTTTGAATATCCCACACAAGCTTTATTATAAATATGGTAGAGATCGGAACATTCCTTCCCACACAAAGGATCAAAATTTTTGATTTCTTCATATTTCACACATTCCATTTGTATACCCTCCACCTTGGAAATGAGGGTTTATTAACTTTGTCATTCCGTTTGTAACATCCTTAAATATTCGTCTTAGACCCCATAAAGTATATATACTCATAATCAGCATAGGATGGTTGGTATTGAAAATGTATGTATATCGGTCCACGTTCTGGTATAGTCCCCATATAACGGTACCTCCCGATATTCGGTATTTTGATGATTTATGCCACATTTTTTCACTGATTTGTCTGGAAATTGGTATTTTTTGGTCATAATGGGTTCCAGCTCCGGTGGCGAAACATTGCATGTATGGGTCCGTGATTCGGTATAGCCCCCATATAACTGTACCTCCAGATATTCGGTATTTTTATTGTTTTTGCTACATTTTTTCACGGATTTGTCTGAAAATTGGTATTTTTTGGTCATAATTGGTTCCAGCTCCGGTGGCGAAACATTGCATGTATGGGTCCGTGATTCGGTATAGCCCCCATATAACTGTACCTCCAGATATTCGGTATTTTTATTGTTTTTGCTACATTTTTCACTGATTTGTCTAAAAATTTGTATTTGTGGGTCATAATGGGTTCTAGTTCGTGTGGCGAAACATTGTAATTATAGGTCCACGTTTTGGTATAGCCCCCATATAACGGTACCTCCCGATATTCGGTAATTTGATTATTTTTGCCACATTTTTTCACGGATTTGTCTGAAAATTGGTATTTGTTGGTCATAATGGTTTCCAGCTCCGGTGGCGAAACATTGCAAGTATGGGTCCATGATTTGGTGTAGCCCCCATATAACGGTACCTCCCGATATTCGGTATTTTGATAGTTTTTGCCACATTTTTTCACTGATTTGTCTAAAAATTGGTATTTGTGGGTCATAATGGTCCTAGTTCGTGTGGCGAAACATTGTAATTATAGGTCCACGTTTTGGTGTAGCGTTTTGGTATTCGGCATTTTAATGGTTTTTGCCACATTTCTTCTAATGTTTCTTTTACCCTAAGGTGGAGGGTATTAAAAGTTTTGCCCGGCCGAACTTAATGTTTTTTTTTTTACTTGTTTCTATTAAAACACATGATCTGCTGTGAAAGTGAGATATATCGGTCCACTTCCTTTTGGTAACTGCCCCACAAAGAATCTAATTGATGAATAGCCATGTATCTCATAAAACACAAAATGAACATCCGATTCTATTCGGACTTGATACATCTCAATATTTCCACCAACACAAGATCTGTTATAAAGATGACAGAGATCGGACTATTTCTTCTGGTACGTCCCCCATTTTAAAAACAAAACGTTCAAAGAAATCGAAATAAGCATCCAATTCTCTGCAATTCAATTCTCGCAAGATCTGTTGTGAAGATGATATATATCTGCTGGTACCTCAACCACAAAGGGTCACAATTTCCAATACTTAAACAAAGAGGTCAGCTAGTTTCTTTAAAACTCCTACTTATATATTTCTTTCAATCAAACGGACTCCTGATGTCTCAGGTATAATTATCACATATCCCATATAATGAAATTCGATATGGTCGATATGGTGGCACGTTTTAATATTTATATCGGACTTAGGTCAGATACAAAATGAACAACATTGTCCCACTCTTTTGGAACCATCCCCATAAATTGTCAACAGTTTGAGCAATCACAGCTCATGACAAAATATATTTTAAGAAATCAACATTGACAGAGGGTGTACATCGGTCGGCAAAAATGACCGATACTTTTTATTTTGTTTTTCGAATTGTTTGATCTTTTGTGGCGGTTGTACCAGAAGGAATGGCCTAATATGAATCATCTCCGAACTGGATCTAAGTTTAATAATATTATTACGATGTATCGAGTTTGAGCCAAATAGGATAGCCACTTCGAGAGTTATCGTGCGTACCAGCCAGTCAGACGGGCAGATAGACTGACGGACGGATACCCCTAGGTCGACTATAAATATCCTGAAACAGGTTAGCAGAGAGACCCAGGGTCTAAACCTGTTATTTCGATGAGGCATGTTTTGGCCGTATCAAATAATATATATCCTCTGTAGCCACATGGCGACGAGGTAAACACATGTGCCATTTTTAGTACTACCTACCAAAAATTCCCATTACCAAATAATAAGTCACCTCACCAATTTTTTGCAGTCGTAACTACTCGCCGACCGACGTATGGTCTTTCGAAATCACTTAGAGGTGCCCGTCCGACAAACTAATTGAGATTATCCAAACTTGGTTTTTGGGGTTCGTAAGAGGCTCCAGCTGTAAAATTTCATGTTTTTCCTATATCCCCATATAACTTTAATATCTGATATTCGGAATTCTTAAAATTATAGCGACATTTTTCAATGTTTTTTTTTACGTTTTGCAAGTTCCTTTTAAATGATGGAGAGTATTAAAATTCGCCGCGTCCGAAATAAGCTGCTTTTCTACTCGTTTTTTCTTTGTTTGCCGATACCAGGCCCCGAACTCGCGGCCATCTGTTATCGGGTATGCACAGCCTGCGTCGACTTGACTCACTATTTGATAATGTGGAAAGGATAAGCCATTATTTTCAAGCTACTCATAATGCACAACATAGTTTATTTCCCATTTATAGAATATTCGATACTAGGTCAATTATGCCGTAGTCGCCTGCTACTCTACCCTCTTCTCCCAAAATTCAAATTAAGTCAATAGTTATATTATGTTGTTGCAAAAACCATCCGTTGCATGAAAGGAAATCACGAAATGCAATATCCAGGTAGATTATGTTCTTCCTTTATTGGATTTGGCATTACCTGGAAATATCACAAAGTTGCTTGCCATGAAGCGACATTGATTGGCTTCTTGTTGTTGTTGTTGGACTAAGTGATTTTAGAAATTCCATTTACTTGGATACCTAATGAAATAGTGTTCCCATTCAAGTTTATCAGATCAAATTGCCCTCTTTGGCAAAAGAGTGCAATAAGTCAAAAATATTAGCATGACTTTATGGTTCAGCATTGAGGACATCTTTCTCTATGACGATGCGAAAGTGTATGGAAAACAAGCTAACCAAGTGAAAAAGTATCGATCGGGTTTGCCGACAGATGTATACCCTCAGCCAATGTTCGATTATTTTAAATTATTTTGACTTCTGTTGTGAATTTTTAAACCCTCTATGAAGTGGGTTTGGACAGAATGGGTCAATGGGTCAATGGGTCAAACTGAAATTTGAAGAGAGTTACATGCTTATTCTATTTTTCTTTGAGCGTTATGTTTTTCAAAATTTTGAACCCTATGTGGGACAGGTAGCAAAAGAAATGGTCCAATCTCTACCATCTTTATAAAGGCCTTGTGTTGATGGAAATATTGAGATGTGACATGTCTGGAATGGAATAGGATGTTGATTTCTCTTTTTATGAATTTCTTGGGCGTTTGTGGGGGGGGGGGGGGGGTACCAGAAAGAGTGGACCGATTTTGCCCATCTTAACACCAGACCCTGGGTTGGGGATGTGTGAAATTTGAAGGCAATCGAACTGTTACATCACATTTTATGAGAGTTGTATTTTTATTCAAAGTTTTGACCATTTGTGGGGGAGGTACTTGATGGAGTGGACCGATATTGTTCATTTTCACACCTGACCATGCACCTAAATTTCATAATTGTGGTAGGTAGACGGCCTTAGGCCGAGGATGGAGATTTCCTCCTCTGGGTATGTCGCGCACAGGCTACCGTGAATCAAAGATTTTTAAAATTAATTATTTTTGTAAGTAGTCCACACAGCAAACGGTTATACTCCCCACGGGGAAGCGGGCATAACCCCCACCAAAAACAATCCGGTCATAATCCCCATAATTGCAATGGGAATTATGTCCGTGGACCAACCAACACGGCACCTCCAAAACCAACGGAGGCAATCATTTTTGACAGTAATGATGGTTAAATGTATTATTTCCGAATTTCGACCTCTTGTGGGGGAGGTATCAGAAGAAGTTTACCGATATTGCCCATTTCCGAACTCGATCTAAGTTTGACAAAAATATTACGATGTACCCAGTTTGGACCAAATTGGATACTCCCTTCGAGAGTTATCGTGCGCACCAGCCAGACAGACGGACGGGCGGACGGACGTACACCGCTAGATCGACTCCAAATGTTCTGAAACGGAGGCACCGGAAGGGGTTCGCAGATGTATATCATCTCTTGTGTTAGCAAGCCTTGTGTGAAATTTGAAGAGAGTTGCTTTGAGCATTTTGTTATTTAAAATTTTGAACCCTATGTGGGGGAGGTACCAGAAGGAATGGTTCGATCTCTACCACCTCTATAACAAATTGTGATGATGGAAACATTGAGATGTACCAAGTCGGGAATGGAAACGAATGTTAGTTTTGAGTGTTTTGTAGCTTCCCCCTTTGTGTGTGTGTGTGGGGGGTACCAGAAGGAGTGGACCGACATATGCCTTTTTCACTGCAGATCTTTTGTTAGTAGAAATAATGGGATGTACGAAACATGAAGACAACCGTATGCTTATTTCGGATTTAATGATCGTTCTGGTTATTCAAAACTTTGACCCTTTTGTGTGGGAGGTACCAGAAGGAATGGTACGATCTGTCCATCTTTATAACAGATCTTGTGTTGATAGAAATATTGAGATGTGCCAAGTCTGAATGGAATCGGATGTTAATTTCGCGTTTTAAGAACTTCATGGATATTCAAAACTGTGGCCCTTTTTTTGGGGTACGTACCAGAAGGAGTGAACCGATATTGCCCATCTCCAAAGTCGATCTAAATTTGATAACAATAATACGATTCACCAAGTTTGGACTAAATCGGATTCTGCTTTCGAAAGTTATCGCACCAGCCAACCAGGCAGACAGACGGACGGACACCGCTTGATCGACCCCAAATGAACCATATTTGGTCCATGAAGCTCAACATCCGATTCCATTCAGACTTGGTGCATCTCAATATTTTCATCAACACAAAGATGGTAGAGATTGGACCATTTCTTTTGGTACCTCCCCACATAGGGTTCAATATTTAAAAAAACGAAATGCACAAGGAATTCGAAAGAAGCATCCAAATGCATCCATCCATCCATCCTCAAATTTCCCACATACAACCATTATTGCTAACGCAAGATCTGTTATGATGTTGATATACATCTGTCAACCCCTTCTGGTACCTCTGCGATTCATTACAACTTGCTATATCCAAATATTTCTCTTAACCAGTATTCTCATATGAATATGTAATTTGTCGGAATTTATGATTTCGCATAAAATTGGATACGAATATTCGATTTCCTTCAAAGTTTGCACATGCCAATATTTTTTTATCTACATTAGCTGAAGTATGAAAATGGAATACTTCGGTCCGCTATATCTGTTACCTGATGCATATTTCCATTTTTCGAAAAATTTGCACATAAAGTGAAGGTATACATCTGCCGGTAAAACCGACTGATACTATTTTACTTGTTTTTCCTTTGTCAGATATTTTTTTTTTTAAAAAATTGATTTTAATTCTGAAGTATGACACTCTTTGGGTGAATGTGCGAAATGTTCTTTGATATTTGATCAGCCATGGGTAGATAGATATATCTATCCACACACCCACACACACACACACACACTCATGGAAAATGTTGATTTAATGAATGCTTCGAGTCAAACATAATTTGTATGTTTTCGTTAAAGCCCCTCAAGGAGAGTCTGTCTGTGATGTGTTCGTAACGGGATACTTAACAAAATGTGTGCGTACAGTCAAACATCTCTTTTACGGACTTCTCAATTAACAGCATTTCTCAATAACGAATAGAAATTGATAACGTAACCTTTGCTAATTGATTAGCCGTTATTTTGCTTTCAGGACTCTCTGCTACGACATTTGTTTGCTACATTGCAGATCGTCCGTCTTCCCTTATCGCCTGTGGGGAAGTTCGACTGTATTTCACTTTTAAATGTAATCAGTTTGAGATGAATGACAAAGTGCTGTATAAAGTTTGTGTACAGTTGGTAAACAAAATGTTTGCATAATCAAAATTTACATTAAATCTAATGTTGATACGAATATTGCAGTGCGAGAAGTTTGAAGTAAAATGGCGGATAATTTCGCAATTTTGGCTATTATTACACTCTGTGGTCGCATTTATTTATTTAGTTCTCTTTTTTTAATAAGGAAAAACCCAAAGTAGATTATGAAAGTAGAGTATTGAAAATCAACATCGCAAGTTTCTCCTCTTCAGCTTTTTTTGTATATCCTCAGCCGTCATATGACTACAGAGGGTATATATAATTTATACGACATTAGAGCCTCATCGGCTCACTCTTTCTGATACCTCCCACACAAAATTTTGATTAACATTTTGCGTATTAAGCATCTGATACATTGCACTTTGCAAATCCTAATATTTGCATCAGTACTAAGTCAGGTGGTCAAATTGGACAATATCGTTCCACTTCATCTAGTACCTCCCCCACAAAGGATACAAATTTCGAATAATTTTACCTCTTATAAGATGTGTGTGTAAAGCGTCCGATTGCCTTCAAATTGCACACATCACAATATTTTCAATATTTTTATTAACCGAAAGTCGGGTCTGAAGATGAAATATGTCGGTACACTACTTCTGGTACCTCCCGCACAAATTTTGAGTATGAAGCTCATAAAACACGAAATTTACATCCGATTCCGTTCAGACTTCGCACATCTCAATACTTCTGCGAAACAAAGTTGGTTTATCTAAATATTTCTCTCAGCCAGAGATCTGATGTGACATATACTTTTTATACCCTCAGCCATATGGCTAGAGAGGGCATCAATTATTTAATACGACCAAAACGTGCCGCATCGAAATAAGCCAGATCCGTTTCGGGACATTTGGAGTCGATCCATCGATGTCCGTCCGTTCTTCATAAATCACGATAAATCTCAAAGGGAGTATCCGATTTGATCCAAACTTGGTACATCGTAATATCTCTGTCAAACTTAAATCGAGTTCGGAGATGGGCAATATCGGTCCACTCCTTCTGGTACCTCCCACAAAAAAGTTCTAAATTTTCAAAGAAAATAATTTACTGCAAAGATGGAGAAACTATAATCCGATTTTGCTCCAACTTTGCAAATCCTAATATTTGCATCAGTACTAAGTCAGGTGGTCAAATTGGACAATATCGTTCCACTTCATCAAGTACCTCCCCCACAAAGGATACAAATTTCGAATAATTTTACCTCTTATAAAATGTGTGTGTAAAGCGTCCGATTGCCTTCAAATTGCACACATCACAATATTTTCAATATTTTTATTAACCGAAAGTCGGGTCTGAAGATGAAATATGTCGGTACACTACTTCTGGTACCTCCCGCACATATTTTGAGTATGAAGCTCATAAAACACGAAATTTACATCCGATTCCGTTCAGACTTCGCACATCTCAATACTTCTATAAACACAAGATGTGTTAAAAAGATGGTAGAGATCTGAGCATTCCTTCAGGTACCTTCCCTACAAAAGATCAAGATTTTCCAAAAAATATTTTGCTGCACAGAAAGAGAAAGGATAATCCGATGTTGCTCCAACTTTGGAAATTCTAATATTTGCAACAGTGCTAGGTCACTTGCGAAAATGGACAAGGTCGCTCCACTCCATCAGGTACCTCCCAAACAAAGGGTCAAATAATTGAATAATTTTAACTCTTATAAAATGTGATATAAGTGTCCGATTGTCTTCAAATTAATCCCAATAATTTCCTTTAACCCAAGGTCTGGTATGAAGATGGAATATATCGGTCCATTCTTTCTGGCATATTTCCATCAACACAAGATATGTTATAAGAATGGTTAAGATCGCAACATTTCTTCTGGTACCTCCACCACATAGGGTTCAAGATTTTCAAAAAATCGAGATAAGCATCCAAATCTATTCAAATTTCACACATTTCACTCATAAAAAGTATAGGAGTAGTCGATATAGTCCAAATTTTGCATTTTGTAATATTCTTAGGTCAGATACGAATTGGCCAACTGCTTCGGAAACTCCCCCATAAAGAGTCAACCGTTTGTATAAACATAACTCAAGTTTGGGGATATAAATCGGTCGGTAAAACCTACTGATTCTATTTAACTTGTTTTTCATAAATTTTGTATAGAGTTGTAAATGTTATATATTTATAACAATACCTTTGAAAATGCATATATTTCTTTGACATACTGTATGTATGTATGTGTGTTCAAGTTAATTTGCTCTAGCTCTATTTGGATTTGAGGAAATTACACATTTCATCTGGAGCGAAGCAATGCTTGTCGCTTTGCTCCTAACCATTGCCATTGCCATTGCCATGGTCATGTACTACATTGTCGTTCTAATGTTTGCCTTTTCTTGTGCATTTACAGAGATCTAATGGAAGAGCTGGTGGTCTACATACGGGAAGCCGTTGACCGAAAACAGGAAAATATGCGACGACGTCGTAGGCGGGATGCATTGCGTTTGCAGTTGGTTCGGGTTTTGGAGAAAATTGCTGAAAATGGAACCTTTGGTGTTAGGTAAGTATGATGGAGTTGAAAAAAAAACGAAAAAAAAAAAAAAAACACAGGCGTAAAAGGAACGCCTCCTCGGGAGGGGTCCGACATGGTAATTTGCTAATTTATGAACAAAAAGGAACAAGGTCTTCCCTGTGGATTTGGATTTTTTTTTTTTTTTGGATTAGAAAAGGTTGTTTAACCAAAAGTTATATATATGGAATCTTTTTTTTTGACAATTACGAAAGTAACCCTTTTTCAAATTTGACGGACGGAAATTTGAAAGCCATAGAAACAAGTTAAACATTATCTGTCAGTTTTGCCAACAGATATATACCCTCAGCCAATGTACGAATGTTCAAATGTTTAACCCCTTGTGGAGTAGGCTCCGAAAGAATGGCCCAATATTGGCCATTTCGTATCGGACCTAAATAAATGTGATATAAATATTGCGAGGTGCTAGGTTTGGACTGTGTTTCGTTGATGGAAATATTGCGATTTACCAAGTCTTGAAAGGAATCGGATGTCAATTTTGCTTTTTATGAGCTTCATGGATATTCAAAATTTTGACCATTTGTGCGGGGAGGTACCGATATATCCCATTTTCATAACAAAGAGGACCTGGTGTTTTTCTCCGATTTTATAAACGTTTTGGTTATTCAAAATCTTTGAAAAAAGTTTACGATCTCGACTGTTTTTTTACAGATCCTGTGTTGATAGTAAAATGCAGATGTGCCAAGTCTAAATGGAATCCGATGTTAAGTTTGCGTTTTATGAGCTTAATGGGTAATCAAAATTTCGACCTTTTGTGCGGGAGGTACCAGAAGGATTGGACCGATATATTCCATCTTAACACCACATCTTGGGTTTATAAAAAAATGGGGATGTTTGAAATTTTGTGGCAATCATATTCTTACATCACATTTTATAAGACTTATAATTATTCAGAATTTTTACCCTTTGTGGGGGAGGCACTTGATGGAGTGAACCGATATTTTCAATTTTTGCACCTGACCTAGAACTGACGCAAATATTAGGATTTGCAGAGTTGGAGAAAAATCAGATTATTGCTTCTCTTTCTGTGTAGAATTTTTTTTTTTTTGAAAACCTCGATCTCTTTTTGGGGAGGTACCAGAAGGAGTGTACCGGTATATTTCATCTTAACATCAGACCTTGGGTTGATAAAAATATTTGGATGTGTGGAATTTCAAGACAATCGGACTGTTATATCACATTTTATAAGAGTTGTAATTATTCAAAATTTTGTCCCTTTGTGGGGGAGGTACCTGATGGAGTAGACCGATTTTGACCATTTTCGCACCTGACCTAGCACTGACGCAAATATTAGGATTTGCAAAGTTGTAGCAAAATCGGATTATCATTTCTCTTACTGTGCAGAAAGTATATTTTTTGAACATTTCGACATTTTGTGTGGGAGGTAGCAGAAGCAGTGGACCGATACATTCCATTTTCACACCAGGCCTTGGGTTAATAAAATTATTGATATGTGTGAAATTTGAAAACAATCAGACTGTTCTATCACATTTTACAAGAGTTGTAATTGTTCAAAATGTTTACCCTTTGTGGGGGAGGTACCTGATGGAGTGGACCGATATTGTCAATTTTCGCACCTGACCTAGCACTGATGAAAATATTAGGATCATCCTTTCTGTGCAATAACTAATTTTTTTTTTGTGAAAATTTTGACATTTTGTGTGGGAGGTACCAGAAGGAGTGGACCGATATTGCCTATCTCCGATCTCGATCTAAGTTTGACAATAATATTACGAGAGTTATCGGGCGCACCAGCCAGCCAGACAGACGGACGGTCGGACGGACTGACATCGCTAGATCGACTCCAAATGTCCTGAAACGGATTTGTCCCAAAGAGACCTAGGGTCTAAAACCGTTATTTCGATGCGGCACTTTTTGGCTGTATCAAATTTTTATATATAACCATATGGGTGAGGCTATAAAAAAAGAACATAGTCGTAAGAGGAACTCCTCGGGAGGGGTCCGACATGGTATTTGCTAATTTATGAACAAAAAGGAACGCGGTATTCCCATTGATTTGTATTTTTTTTTTTTTTGGTTAGAAGAGAGCTGTATATCCTGACTTAACGAAACGGCTGAAGTTAGAATCTAGAAATTTTGTTGGGTGAGAGTCACTCAGATAAGGCTGTAAATAAGATTTGTGTTGTATTGTGTGATATTGGGAGTTATGGAAATTTGTACTAATATGTACTGAATTTGGTAAAAATTGGGTTTTGGTGAGGTCCTGAAATTTGGAATTTAAGTTTTGCAAAAAAAAGTACTATAAAAGTACAAAAGGTTCTAAATGGTACACAATATAGCATTTATTGTTGGATGTTGGGGTCAGAATTGGTGTGCAGTTTTGAAATACGAAAGGATGTGCGACAGGTACTAAATGGTACTAAAATTTAAATTATGTTCGATATTGATGTGTAGGGTTAAAATATGAAGTGGTTTTGGGAATTAATACTTACGTGAACGAAAAGTAACATACGGTACTAAATGTGGTATTAGGATAAAGGGGTAAAACATGAGTGACTGACTGATTCATCAACGACCAGGCGAAACGGTTGAAGCTAGAAACTTGAAATTCTGCATAAGGGTCAATGTTGGTGGGTAGGGGTGAGATATGTCTGGGTTTTTTGGAAACCCAGCTCTAGAAGTGTACTAAAAGTACTAAAAAACACTATCCTTTCGTATTTTGTGGATGGATAAAGCTAAAATCTTGACATTTGGTAAAAAAAAATTCAATTTGGGAAGTAATGTTGAAATAAGTAGGTGCTTTTGGAAATATGTACTAGGTATAGTAACTGTACTAAATGGTACTATATTCGGTACAAGTTGGTCAGGTTGATCTACAATTTTAAAATGTTTGTATCTGCTGGTGTATAGAATTGAGATAAAGAGTTTGTCTTGGAAGTGCGTTCAGCATGCATACGAAAGGTTCTGAATCGTACTAAATTTGGTATTGCGTGAACAGATACTGCTTGAAATTTGGCATCAAGCATCATCACTGTTAGTTTGTAGAGCTGACATGGTCTGAGGTGGTCTTTAGAAATTCGTACTAAAAAGTACTAAATTTGGTATTTGGGCAAGGAATTGATTTGGAAGTCTTAAATTTAGCACTACGAATACTTTGGGAATAAGTACTAAAAAAGTACGAAAAGCAAATGGAGCTGAAAATCAGAAAATTTGGAATGAGAGTTATTGATATTTATACATCAATGGGTTTTCCGAAATTCTAGCATTACGTGTACCATAAGTACTAAAATGCACTATATATGGTACCATTTGGAATTATGTGAACAGATAGCGATAAATTTTTAAAATTCGATATGAGAATCAATTCGTCGAAATGGGGTTGGTGTAAAAAGTTGGTTTTAGTAATGTGTACTAAGTGCAAGAACTGTACTAAATACTACTAAATTCCGTACAATTCCATTTTGGGTGAACGAAAGAAGCTGGTAATTCAAAATTTTGGGTCGCTACTCGTTTAGCAAGCGTACGAAAGGTACTAAATAGTATTGATATAGCTTGAGATCTGAAATTTGACATAAGGATCACTGATAGCTTAATGGGATTGGGACATGGACGTGGTTTTGAAAATATCTACTAAAAACTACTAAATGGTACTATATTTGCTATATGAGGAAGGGATAGAGCTGAAAATCTAAAATTTGCAATGAGAGTCTTTGATGTTGTGCAGGATAGGAATGGTACCATTTGGTATTATATGAATGAATAGAGGCAATATCGTGAAATTTAATATGATAATCGAGATTAGGAATAAAGGTTGATATCAGATTTTGGAAATGTGTACCAAATACACGAACAGTACTAGATGGTACTAAATCTGATACAATAAGGTTTTAGGTGAATGGAAAAAGGTCGAATATTGACATTTGGTATAGAAAGAGGCTGTTCTGGAAATGCGTACATTAAGTATTCGAGACGTACTAAATGGTACTACATTTGATAAAGAGTGTAGAATTGTAAATATTGACATAGCGATCCTTTGGGTGTAGTGTTTCTCTAAGGATATGCCTTTTGAATTTGTACCATAAAATGTACGTACTAAACTGTACTAAATTTGATATAATATAAAATTGAACTTATGAGGGTAACTATGCAGTAGACAATTGTTTGTGACGGTGACAATACAGAGTGAGATACAAAAAAACTGCAACAAATTCAAAAGCCATATTTTTTTATTTTTTTTTTTTATTTTATTGAATGAAATCAAAAAATCACGGAAACAGCATCAAATTTTAGAATAAGTTCAGATTTGTTCGAATTGGTCATCTTTGCCACGGATTATGGCCTTCAAACGGCCAATGAAACGGTCACACGCTGCCCGAATATAACTCTGCCAAATATTGGCCCATTCCCGACGAAGCGCTTGCTTGAGGTGATCGAAACTTTGGTATTTTTTTAGTGCCAACCTTGCTTTCCAAAATACTCCAGACATAATAGTCCATCGGATTGATATCCGGAGATTTTGGTGGCTATTGTGCGATGGAAATGAAGCGAGGAACCTCATTTTGTAACCATTCTTGGGTGGCGCGTGCTGAGTCCTGTTGGAATGTCCAAGGTCTGCGGCCAAAATGTGTGCGTGGCCAAGGCTTTAATACACCCTCCAGAATATGTTCGCGATAATATTCAGCATTTATTTCGATGCCACGGTCGATTAATACGAGCGGAGCGCGACCATCGGCTGTTATGGCGGCCAACACCATCACCATGACCGGCGCTTAAGTTCTGGTGGGCAACCAAAGGTGCAAATTTTCAGCTGACTTCTTTGGCAAGTAAACACGATCTTTTTGTTTGTTTACAAACTGCTGGACAACGAATGTTTTCTCATCGAAGAAACCCAAATTCGGTACTTCACCACTTTCGGTCAAGCGAAGCAACTCTAGCTCTTTTGAGTCTATCTTCTTTTAGTTGCGGTGTAAGTTCTTGAACTTTTTGGAATTTCAATGGCTTTACCCCGAGCTCATTTTTCAATACTTACCGAATGGAATATTGCGATATGCTCAGCTCACGAGTCGTTTTTCGGCCACTGCGACGCGGGTTTCGATCAAGTCGCTTCTTTACTTTTCAAACCATTTCTGCTGATGTCGGGCTACGCTACCAGTATCACGGTAACGGGGGATGGTACAAGACACAAAAGATTTATTCACATTTAAATGCTGGAGTACTCTAACGATAGCCACTTTTGGTTTTCCAGTCAAATATAAAGAAATCACACTATCACGCTTGAATTCCATCACGAATAAAATTTTTCTGAAAAATTCAGTCACTGAAATAATTTTAACAGCTGTCGGACGAGTGCCTTAGAAATGACAGCGGTTTGAGGTTGGTTGCAGTTTTTTCATCTCACCCCGTATTGTCAGACTTAGATCGACGTTGGAGATGACAATATCAATCCACTCCTTCTGGTACCTCCCCCACAAAAGGTTAACATTTTCACAGAAAACTATAACAACCAAAAGTGCGACGTTATGTACGAAAATGGGCAATATCGGTCCACTCCATCAAGTCCCTTACCCACCCCCCCCCCCCCCCCCCCCCCCCCCAAAAGGTCGAAATTTTAGTTTTACTCTTTAGTTTAACTCTTGCAATATGTGATGTAAGAGTCCGATTGTCTTCTAATTACGCACAGCACATTACTTTTATTAACCCAAGGTGTGGTGTGAAGATGGAATATATCGGTACACTCCTTCTGGTACCTCCCCCCCCCCACAAAGGGTTAACAATTTGAATATCCATGAAGCTCAAAAAACACGAAATTAACATCCAATTCCATCAGACTTGCACATCTGAATATTTCCATCAATACAAGGTCTGTTATAAAGATGATAGAAATCGGACCATTCATTGCGGGGGTGGTAACAAAGGGACAAAGTTATGAATAACCAAAACGATTATAAAATACGGAATAAGCATCCGGTTCTCTTCATATTTCACACATTCCTTAATCTCTACTAACAAAATATCTGCTGTGAAGATTAGATATATCGGACCACACCTTTTGTTACCCCCCCCCCCTTCTTAAGATAGGACCATTTCTTCTGGTACCACCCCCACATAGGGTTTAAGATTTTGAAAAACCTGGCAATGACCGCTATGTTTACATGGTATTCCTTAAGGTCCAATATGAAAAGGTCAATACTGGCTCATTCGTTCGGTACCTACTCCATGGGGAGTCAAACATTTTATTAAAATAAATGTCAAAATGTATTTAAATATTCGAACATTGGTTGCAGGTATGCATTTGTCGGCAAAACTGACTGATACTTGTTAACTTGTTTTTGTTAATTTTTGTTATTAAAAAACAACAACAGGAGGACTTTAACTGACTACAACCAAATAATAAATGCCAACACCACCCGTTAATTTTCAAGTTAATAAAAAAAAGTGCTCTCCCCTCTGGACTCGGGACTCAAGGACATTGTGAAATATTGCATTTGTGCTTTAATTTTCACATTTGCTTTGCAATTGACAAGGTAGTCAGGGTACTATGTCTTTGTGCTTTTGTTTGTAACAGGCAAAAGGAAACGAGATAGACCCATAGTTCCTTTTGATGATCTGCATAGAATCACATTCAGAGTCGATTTATGCATGTCCGTCTGCCCATATATTTTTGTAAACAAAGTACAGTTCGCATTTATTGCCCTATCCAGATGAAATTTTGCATAAATCATTTGTTTGGCCCAAGGACGAACCCTATTGAAATTGGAGATAACCGGTCAAAATTTAGATATAGCTCCCATATATATCTTCGTCCGATTTGCCTAGTATGGAATTTTGCACGTACGATCAGATTGGACCTGAAAATAAGTATGCCAAATTTGATCAAAATCGGTTCAGATATAGCTATAGCTCCCATATATATTGTTCATCCGATTTGTCATATTTGTTACACACAGCCGCAATATGCACTCCGTAACAATGATATTCAGGGAAATATATCAAATACAGCTCAGAAATATCTTTGCCAAATTTTATCGAGATCGGTTCCGATTTGTATATAGCTCCCATATATATCTTCGTCCGATTTATCTTTTATTGTGCACCAAATGTCTAATATTTTCCCCAATAGGATGGAATTCGGCACATGCGACCGAATTGGGTCTAGAAGGTATCATGCCAAATTTGGTGAAGATCGGTTCAGATATAGCTATAGCTCCCATATATACTCTTCATCCGATTTGTTATATTCGTTACCCACAGCCGTAATATGCACACCGTAACAACGATATTCAGGGAAATATATCAAATACAGCTCAGAAATATATTTACCAAATTTTATTGAGATCGGTTCAGATTTGGATATAGCTCCCATATATATCTCTATCCGATTTCAAATTTATTGTGCACCAAATGGGCAATACAAGTCCGATTTAAAAGATACAAATGCTTCGACATATTTAGTCCTTTGAACTTAAAATTATAATTACAGTCACAGCGTGTATGATTGAATTCTCCCATAAAAACGTGCTCTTCTAAATTAGCAAAGTGTTGTAGGGTATCATAAAGTCGGCCCCGCCCGACTTTAAGACTATCTTTACTGGTTGATTTTTATCATTCTGTTTGTCATTCCATGTTCCACGTGTGTGTACGTTTTTTCGTTGCAGCACTTGTGTCCTGGAACGTGATACCATGTCTTTGCATCCGACTTTTGTCGAGTACATCGACGGGGCCATGCAGTATCTTTTGGCCGAAACCGACAAGGACAACATCAGCATTCGTGAGGTGAAGGCGCACTTTTGCAATTTCATACGGAAAATGATCAAAAACTTTTCACGTAAGTAACTAAATGCCATCGTCCGTATTGTTGTTATTGTTGCTGCTGTGGAAATGTGAAAACTTTCATCATTACCTGTCATTTTTAATTTCCCTGTGATTGTTTGTTTGTTTGTTTTTTATTCTCCTGTTTTGCCAGTGGAATCCTGTGCCACATTATTGACACGTGATTTAAAGCGTAATTTATTCAATTTATTTGCCACCTGGTCTGGGAGTTTTGCCAAGCCACTGGGTATTGCCAGCCAACAGATTGGCCAATCACCGGAAGAGGAAAAACTACAGTTCAGTGCTTTACAGGTAAGTTTTTTTCCATGTCGTGTCTTTATCACAATTCCATAGTGTGTCTTTTTTGTTTTTGTTATTCTTCTCTCATTCCAGGCCATGTCGGCTCTTCTATCTTGTGGTCATATTTTTTATACGCCCTTCCTATCGGACGATGGCATCATTTACAAATGGCTTGACATGCTGTTGGCGTCCAAAGATGAAAAGGTTAGTTGAGATTGAATCAAATGATTTTCAATTGGTTTTAACCATTCTGAGATATGGAGTTTTGAATTCAAAATTTGATATTTACTTTGCCCTTCTTCCATTTCCTTGCAGATTTATCAATTGGCCCGTGACACGGTTGTCTTACTTTTAGAATGTAATCCTGATATGGGTCAATTATTGGAATGGGTAATCGATCGTTGTTACACATCGGAGCCCAGGGAGGCGGATGCTTGCTTTTTGGCTTTGGCTGCCATATTTAGTGCAAGGTAAGTGATTTGTACGACTTGATAATAATAGTCTATTTCGAAAAATTATGGCAATTGATATTTTTTTTTCCTTTCTGACACATATTTCGTTTGATTAGAATTAAATAACTTGAATTAGCTTTTGAACTATATGATGACATTTCGAAAACTTTGTAACAAAACAGTTCCCCACCTTAAATCTTTTGGAATTTGTATTAGGACGAAAGGATTTCGATTTTACCAAATTTTGAACGTTATCAAAGCCGGAGAGATGTTAAATTTGTTCATTGTCACGCTTTGTATGAGGTTTGTGATTTTTCAACGTCAGCCAAATGGCTACAGAGGGTATACCTTTTATATACGACAAAAACGTGTCTCATCGAAGTAACGGTTTTAGACTCTGGGTCTCTGGATCACAACCCTTTTATCACATTTAGAGCCGATCTAGGGTCTGCTGTTCGTCTGGCCGAATGGCAGATCCAAACTTGGTACATCATAATATTGTTATTGACCTATATCGAGTTGGGAGATGGGCAATATCGGTCCACAAATGGTCAAAATTTTCACAGAAAAGTATATGCCTCATAGAATAGGAAAGGATACACCAATTTTATTCAATCTTTGCAAATCATAATAGTTTTATCCGTGCTGGTTGAGGTGTGAAAATAACCAATGGTTCAACATTTTCAATAATTGTAACTCCATATTTTTACGAACACAAGATTTGTTGTGAATGTGGTAGATATCATCGGACCAATAATTATAAAATGTTAAATAATCTCAATAATCAATAAACAAGGTCTGCTATGATGAACGGTAGAACTGACCACGATTTCTGGTACCTCCCCCACAACGGGAAAAAATTTTGAATAACCATGAATCTTATAAAACCCGAAAAAAAAATCGGAGTACTTCCAAACTCCCCAAATCCCAATATCCCCAATTCCCAATTTTCAATAATTGCCAAGCCAACGACTCTTTTCAAACTTGGTACACATAAATAGTTCTCTAAGCCAGAGATCTCAAGTGAATATCTAATTTGTGAGGCCACTCCTTCTGGTAAGGAAATACTTCGGTCCACTATAACTGGTATCTTACGACCATTTCAATTTTTTTCCCAAAAATACCCTAGGTGTCTTTGGACCAGATCCGGTTTAGGACTTTTGGTGTCGATCTAGGGGTGTGCGTCTGTCTGTCTGGTTGGTGTGCATGATAACTCTCGAAGGCAATATCCGATTTGGACCAAACTTGGTACATCGTAATATTAATTAGATCGAGTTTGGAGATGGGCATTATCGGACTACACCTTCTGGTACCTCCCCCACAAAAGGTCAAAATTCTCAAAGAAAATAATTTAACTCATAGAAAGAGGAAGGATCCTCCGACTTTGTTCGAAATTTGCGAATCTTAATATGTATATCAGGGCTAGTAAGATGTGAAATGATCAATATCAATTCACGCCTTCTAGTACATCCCTCACAAAGGCTTAACATTTTGAATAATCGCAACGATTATAAAATGTGAAAAAGGCCGATTATCTTCCAAATTCGCATGTCTCAAAATTTTTACATCTGGTACCTCCTCCACAAAATGTCGAAATTTTGATCAGGATCAACATTTGGAATACAAACCACCCTCAGAAATGCAAAATTAACATTCAATTCGTTTCAAACTTGGCACACCACAATATTTTCATAACACAATGTCTATCAGAATATATCAAGATGTATCAGAAGCACTGGGCCAATGAATTCCACATTCACATATTGGATTTATTGGCCCACTACTTCTGATACCTGGGCTAAAAGGCGTCAACATATTTAATAATTATTTGTCTCATTACATTCGAAACAGGTCAGCGGTTTTATTCAAACTACGTGAATCTCAATATATCTATCAAACACAGATCCAATGGGCAGAGGGTACACATCTGTGTGCAAAAACGACTGATACTTTTTACCTTTTTTCGTAGAGTTTAAATACGCATTTTCAAACAATCTCCCTATCTCAACTTCAGATACCAACATTGACGTCCATATCAAATTTCAGCTCTATTTTTTCACTCAAAGCCAAATTTTGTACTTTTCCTACAATTCTAGTACACATTTCCCAAAACCACCTCCATATTTCAATCCCAAATACCAATAGAAACCTCAGTATCAAATTTCAGAATTTCAGCTCTATCCCTTTACTCAAGACCAAAATTAGTACCATTTAGTACTTGTCGTATAATTTTAGTAAACATTTCCAAAACCACTACCATATCTCAATTTCAGATTCCAACAGAGACCTCAATATCAAATTTGAGTATTCCAGCCTAATCCCCTCACCCAATACCAAATATAGTACCATTTAGTACTTTTCGGACAATTAGAGTACACATTTCCGAAACCATCTGCATATCGAGGATATACATGAACAGCGAACCTAATACAAAATTTCAGATTTCAAGCACTATCTGTTCACCCAATACCAAGTTGTACAAAATATTGTACTGTTTAGTACTTTTCGTGCACTTGTAGTACAGATTATCAAAACCTACTTTCAACAAAGAACCAAGTATAAATTTTCGAAATTCCAATTTCATCCGTTCAGCCCAAACCAAACTTTTCCAAATTGAGCAGCATTTAGTGCAGTTCGCACACTTAGTACACATTTCCAAAACCACCTCCATATATCACACTTATTTTCCTACCTTGATTCTTATACCAAATTTCAAGTTTTTAGTTCTCTCCGTTCACATAATACCAAATGGTACTATTTAAGAACTCGTAATCCTAAAGTTCAAATTTCCAATTTCCTCTGGTACATCTATCCTTCACTCCCCCAGTGACTTTCTTTCCAAATTTCAGAACTATAGCTCATTCCCTTTGCCTAATGCAATGTATTTAATTTATAGTACATTTTTGTACTTTCCGTCCTTTTTAGTACGAAATTTCCAAAAGAACCCATCACACGCTCTATTTTCATAATCTGCTGGATTTTTCCTGTATGTTATTTTTCCGCAGTGTTAATGAACGACCCCTGAAGTCTAGATTTAAAAAATTTTGCAAAAAGATCATGACCGTAAATCCACCCTCTAAGGATATGAAAAGTAATGTAGAGTACAAAATGGAACAGCATTATTATAAAACTCAATTTTTGGGGGTACGAAAAGTACCAATTGGTATAACAGTGTTATTAATCAATCGATAAGAGCTCGAGTGAGTTCGGGGAATTACTCAGCTAATAATGAGAGCAAATGTGAAGATGGTGTATATCGGTCCGGAAAAAAAGATATATATAGCTTGCCTTTTATTTTGCACCGAATGTGTAAAATCTCTGATTGAGAGAAATATTTTGATATCCCAAGTTTGAATAGAATCGCTGACTTGTTTCGCAAGTTATGTGAGACATAAGTAAGTTAAAATTGTAATCCATTGTGGGGGAGGTACCAGAAGAAGGGGTCCTATATATTCCATCCAGATATTGTTTTTGTAGAAATATTGAGATGTGTGAAATTTGAAGTGAATTGAATGCTTATTTTGCATTTTATGAGTGTTTTAGTTATTCAAAATGTTGACCCCTTTTGTGAGGGAGGTACCCGAACATGTGAATCGATATCGACCATCTTCACATCAGATCTTTTGCTAGCAGAAATATTAGGATGCAGGACATGTAAATAGAATCGAAAGCTTATTTTGCGTTTTATGAAAAGTATAAAAATTCAAAATTTTGACTCGTTGTTGGGGTGGTAGCAGAAGGAGTGGTCCGATATATTATATCTTCACACCTTATATTATGGTGATAGGAATATTGAGACCTGCCGATTTTGAAAGGAATCGGATGCTAATTTCGCGTTTTATGAGCTTCGTGGTTATTCAAAATTATGACCCTATTTTGGTGGAGGTACTAGAATAAGTGGTTTGACCTATCCACACCATTTTCATACCAAAAGAAATTTCAAGACAATTGAGCTCTCATATTCAATTTTATAAGAGTTACTAGCTGAACCCGGTGCGCGTCGCTACCCTTTTGGTTTTATATGCATTCAAAATTTTATTTACGAATATATGTTGGTTAAAAAAAACAAATTAAAAATTAAAGAAAAATTATTGCACTACTTTAATGCGTAAATAACCAAAACCATTAGAAAAGCAGTAACATGACATACATACACGAAGGGTTTGTCCTTCGGAGCGTGCAGTAAACTGCAATCTTTTGAAGTTGAGTGGCATTTCTATTGCAATTAGTGAATTCGAGATAGCAACATACTTCGCCGTAATAAGCGTATTTCAAATCAATTGTTGTGTTGTTTTTTAGTGTTAGCCTAAGGCGTTTTGGGTCAATGGTTCTTATTAAAATCATATCCCAATCTGATCCGATTTAAATATAATTTAAAAAAAATACTTTTACACCAAACTCCGCCACACCTTTCATATTTCATTGAAATTGGTGCGTCAAATATGTGAAATCGGTCGAGAATATATATATATATATATATATATATATATATATATATATATATATATATATATGGGAGCTATATCCAAATCTTAACTAATTTCCAATTATATATATATATATATATATATATATATATATATATATATATTGGCCCTCTCCTTCTGGTACCTCCCCTCACAAAATGTCAAAATTTCCAAAGAAAATAATTTATCTCATAGAGAGAGAGAAGGAATTTTTCCATTTTGTGCAAACTTTGCAAATCCCAATATTTTTCAATGCTAGGTGATGCTCGAAAATCGGCCAACTCCATCAAGTACCTTACCCACAAAGGGTCAAAATTTACCATAATAATCTATATCTATAAAAGAGGAAAATGTTTGTATGTTTTTTTGTTTGTTTGTTTGTTTGTAATTTATGGACTCGAAAACCGCTGAATAGATTTCCCTGAAAATTTCCATATATATTGCAACATCGCCTGAAAGTAACATAGGCTATATACATTTTTGAATTTCCACTTGGAACTGGAGATATAGCATCAGAATCGGAGGTACCTCCCAAAAATTTAGATTTTATAT